TCCCCCATGCTGCTCCTGAATATTCTGAGACAAAGGCCTCTTATGAAATTATACTGTCATTAGAATGACTGCTCTGATTAGATACTGAGACTGGATTAGCCATCTGCTTGGCTCTTAAGCAGAGGAATGATATGATCAAAACTAATTACCATGTATTCCTACATGAGAACACATTGAAGGTTTTAGTTTCAAAATATGATATGCTGTATTCATTTTGAGTGGCTAAAAAAATCCACTGTGTGGTGGAATTCTTTAATACATTACTGTTAGAGCACTGTGATGTTGATACGAATGTAATAGTTTTTACAGTAATCTTGTTTAAGCCTTTAAACTAGGAATTATAAGGTGGAAGTATATGATAAATTATTAAGAATTATTATGATGTTAATTATTAAGACTGTACCTAAAGCTAATAAGTTAGATAGTAAAATGTTACAGTACATAAGATAAAGATTGTGAGATCAGATTTGATTTGTGAAATGTCAAACATTTTAGCATTGAGAATTCATCTTGTTTTTATTAGCTCCTGAAAAGCTACTGATTCAGAGATGGATAGAGATACCATGTTTACAAAAATATTTAGCCTGATTACACATATGAAGCTACTGAAACAGCTCTCTCTATTTTGAACCTCCATATCCTACTAAACATTTCAGATTTTTAATGCCTCTTACACTAAAAGCTGTTCCACTTGTTTCCACATGTCACACAGCATAAAAGAATGGCAATCGTTGTGCAGTGTGCTAAGAGTTGCCACTGTGGAATGGACATATGCAGCAATTTATCACTTGTCTCTCAGCACATGTGTGGGTGGCCCAGCAGCGGGTATTCTTGCAATTTGGGAGCAATTGACAGTAATCCCCTCTTTCTGCTTGTGTGAAAGCTCATCATCCCCCTGCACGCCGACAGGCACGTCTTCACTAGAGATGACCCCCAGAGCTGGTACAAAAAGCTTTGGGTCTGTCGTAGCTCATGTTCTATATCATTATCAGCTTGTCTCGAACTTTTTCTTGGTGGTCTGAAAGGCCTCTTAGAGTAAATCACTATACTCTGGGAAGGTAAGCACAAATCCTTGCAGATACGTTGATGGAAATTCTATGCAGGTTTATTTGACCTATTTTTTTCTTATTTTTTATACTATGAAAATGAAAAAATATACTGTACTAAAAATACAGGTGCATATGCTTTGATACAGTGGTTCCCAACCTGGGGTTCCAGGCCCCCACTAGGGCTCGCCAAAAAAATTTGGGAACCACTGCTTTGATACAAAAGGTTGGTGGAAATCACAGGCACACACACATAATATGTGCATGGCACATCCAAATCAAGCTTCACAGCGATCAACAGCTTTGAGTTTACACAACTGTGTGGAATAGATATGGTCCTCGTCTTGCATTCAAGCCATTTAATAAAAACAGAACCTATGCTACAGTGGCAACTGTAATGTGGACATATTGTATTGGTCCATGGTGGTAAAGAGAGCTGACCCACAAAACAATAGTTTGTTTTGTTTTCAGTTCAGAGACTCCTTTTTCCACCCCTCACCTATGGTCATCACGGTTGAGTAATCACTAAAAGTTGTTGGCTTAGGATCTAAGAGGACCCCAAGAGTTAAGCTGCTACTCCCCTGTCTGAATTACGTTTACTGGCAATGTCTTTTTCAATTCAGGAAGTATAGCGTGTTGTAGCTACTGTATAGAAGTCAAGGGGAGGAGGTCAGGATGGATGTTTTTGCCTTCAAAGCACAGGACCTTGACACTAAAGACATGAGTTCATGTCCCACATGGTGTTTGGTTTAGGCTAATAAAACACAGGGGGAGATTGCAGCTTTGCATATCAAGATATCAAGGTCAACGTGTCCTGTCTCGTACACCAGTGCGTCAGTGTTGACCAAGACGACGATCTTTCCCTAACCTTAACAAAAAGTGTTTTGAGTAGCCATGAGTGGATATTGTTGTGAAAGAAAGATGTAGATGTGTTCCACATAAACAAAGCTCCTGGTCTTAATGTATTTGCTATTGAAAATTAGTTGAATGTAAGGAGACAGGGTTGTGCTTATGGAAGTACTGTCTGCTGCTGGCTGGAGATTCCTTTGTGATCCTCCATAAGAAGGTGGATAAAGTTGTAAATAATAACTTGCAACCTACTGGGCTGCTCTGCCCATTAGTTAACAGATATGAACTTATTGAAGAGACACTGTTTTGAATAATCTTTGAATAATTTCTGTATGTCCAAATCTAATTTGCTGTATATAGAAAGTGTTACTGTACTCTGGCTTTAGGAGAAAAGTTTAAGAGGGCATATGTTAAATCACTGGCATAAACAGCTACGCTATATGGAGAAACTAAACCTTAGTAAAGTGTAATGATGCATGAGGCAGTTCCTCAGCCTAAGCCCCATCTTTTCTCCCAAATAGTTGTGGTTGCCATATGCTCAGATTGACTATAATTGTTAGTTTCCTGGACAAAGTGTTCAGAGGTTTGCAGGCGTTTAATATACCCTGCAGGCAGAATTAAAAAGCAATCATGAAATCCAATTCTTCCATATAAAAACAAATGAGCAACGCCGTGCCACACTTCTATTTACAAAGCAAACACTTGCCTTCATCTTCATAATATCTCATATTATGCCCAATAGTGTGCAGAATACAGAAGAAAGTTTGATGGATGGTTTGATTTAATGAGAGAGAAGTCATTTAGACGTTGAAAGTAGACACATTATTAATGGGATTTCTTGGAGACTTCAGAGGGGAAATAGGGATTGCAGAGCTTAAATTACTAATACATTTGGCTCATAAAAACTGTGAGAAGATAAAAGTAAAAGTTGCGCTGTAAAGACAATGGAGCAGGGCCAACAAGCACTGATCAGTTTTGTAGTGGTCTGTGCTATGATGACAGCATCAATCAGTCACCCAATCAAAGTTACTCATGTTCTTTGGAAACAAGGATCATCTGCCTGAGATAATCTTTTCATGTTTTTTATTTTTATTACTAGCCATGCTAGCGGTACAGCTCTAGGGATGGCAATGTTG